TTTGTTGCTCTTTTATATCACTGAAAATGTCAAGCAGACTGTTCTTGTGCGCTCGTGTCGTACTTGAACGGATGTTCAAGTATGTACACAGATACAAATGTTAAAAAGCACGTTTGCTTGTTTCGTTAAAAGTCGAGGACTATTTCTGGCGAGCGCAGGACGAAACGCGTATAATGATTACGCGCATCGAATTTCGTAACGTTGAAACGCTTTCGAGCATTATTCACTTCGCCGAATATTCAAACTACCATCGTTCAACAACGCTTAAATTCAAAATTTAATTGTCAGACGCGTTTCTCGCGCGAAGCTCGCACAACTTTAAACTAAATAAATAGATATTTTTCTCTTTTTTTCGTCTCGCCGCGTTGTAAAAGTTACAAAACCGAAACAAGGCCTACCGGATACTACTTTCAGATTCCACGGATTATTGCACATTTGTGCAACATTGGTACTGGCTGTTTCAATTTGTTGCCAAGCAATCGACACGCGTATATCGCGTACACGGTTATCACAGATACATAACGTCGTGATATCAATTCTCTTGTAATGACACAATCGTAGCCAGTCAGTCGGATGTCGGCCGGGGGACTCGGTGGTGTGGGGTAGAGAAGAGGTGATGGTGACGATCTAGGTCCGGCTTCGTTCTCCAACTCGTTGTTTATCAAACTCCCCTTCGCATAACAAGCATCAAAACACTTGGCGCCCCACGCTGGAGCCGTCGTAGTCATCTTCCGCCCCAATGGTCGCTTCTACTTTTCGTGGATGTGCCGGCGGGGGTAGGCGCTGGCATGGGTTAAAACATGGATAACCGGGAGGGAACAGTCTCTCTATACACAGAGAGGCGCCGTCTCTATCCGCCGAAAAAATGAGTTATCGTGCTGGATCTAGGGACACGACGACTCTATCGTTCGAATCGCCGTCCAATGCAGCTTCTTCGTGTCTCTGCAACTTTCAACAAACATGTCTGCTCTTCGTTCGTTGTCACTCGATCGAATGATCTTCAGCCGTTTCAAACGGAGGAGAAGATCTCCCTTGAATTAACATCTAAATTCGATCGCTACGGATCTCTGGGAAGAGAAACGAGAACCTGGCTGGACGAATCGTAAAACGCGATTGACGCTGTTGCGTCTTTTTTCTTTTTTTTTAAGCGAAAAAGCTAATAACCTTAAATTAAGGTGTTCGCGTGCAGACGGACGGTGACCTTAATTTCAATCGTTCATCCGTTTGCGATTATGCTCTCGGTGTGCACGAGAAGATACTGTTTCCAAGGCGGAAAAGTTTCACCGAGGTAAACAGGTTTTCAAAACGTTTCCTTGCTGCTCTGGTCGATATTACATGAATTCGGTAAGGGCCGTAAAACCAAACGCCATTTCCCCCACGGCGAACGAACGATCCTTACCATCGGTTCTACTACTAATCGGAAGGGAGCGGGTTTGTTTGGTTTTTCCAAAGGAGGAGAGAGATCCTACTCCGAAGGATAGTAAAGACTCGCTGGCACCGTTGGACGTCTCGTAAGTCCCCTATTCATAATTATTCCTGAACAAAACATCACGTTATTGACGTGTCCCGGGACATTGGAAAATTCAGTCGGACAATACCAAAGCGAACGCGCGTCGATGTGTGTACGTGTGTAAAAGACACAAACTCGAAAGGGCTGGATGATAGGAGTGGTAGGGGGAGGGTGGGGAGGGGAATAGGACGTTTCTGCAGCTTGGCGACGACCGATGAGCAACGTTCCCACCCCCATCGTGACGATGCCACGATGCCAACAGAAGAAGTATTCTTGCATTTGTCGACGTCGACGTCGTCGTGGTCGTGGTCGTCGTCGTCGTCGTCGACATGGTCGTCGCCGTGGTCGTCTTCGTCGTGGTGTCGTGGGTCGAGCAGTGGCGGCGACGGTGTCGGCGACGTCGGCGACGTTCCACCGTTGGCGTCGAGGTTAGCGCCGGCCGGTCGCTGGAATCGGCGCCCGGCTGTCTCTTTCTCCCTTTCCGTCTCTCACTCCACTGTTTCGTCCGTCTGCACGGGAGAGCCGGCCGTCGTTTCGCCGTCGTCCGATCGACGGCGACGACGTGGCTCTGCCGGCTGTCGCCGACGCCATCCGCCGCTTCTGCACCACCCCTGTCGCTCCTTCGTCCCCCCCCCCTCTTTTTTTTCCCGCCGCCGACTATCCCTGTCGATATATTCGACGACACGACGTGTTTAGATAATGAAACTCTACTCTTCCAAAAAATTTCTCGCTCTCGAATCACCTCCGACCCTCTTCGTCTATACGCTCCGAGTACTGTATACCGACGTTGTTTGTCAACGAAGGGAATATCGAATTTTATCCAACTGCGGGCGTGACACACGCGTTAAACACGCATTCAACTCTCTGTTAGTGCCGCTCGGACTAGTCCAGTTATCTGAATCGATGCGAATCGCGTCGGATTTAGTGTTCATTACTGAGATCTGATGGTACAAAAATTCCTAATTTCGACGACCTGAGCGCCCCTAGGTTTCAATTCTGGCGCGGTGCTCGATGTCTCGAGTGGCGCGTAAAAACGTCATAACGCAATTTCAATTAAAAAGCAAGAAATGTAAATCAATTCCTTGACATTTACATTTGTAAAAATTGATAAAGCCAATGAGAGAAAAAGAAGAAGTGCTTCGCGCGTTATCGACGGCGGATAACTAACAATAAATTCTTCCTCAATATCGATTAAATCGTTGAATTATTTATTGTTTTGCTTCTGACGTGATTGCGCATAAATGTCTAAACATCAAATATAAACGACGACGAGCTGTGGCTAATTGAACGTATCGAATGTAAATAAGTCGACATTTGCATTCTTCTCCACGGCGAGCATAAAATGAAATATAATCATTTTATTATGACTGAATGGTGGAATGCTATTCTGCAGCTATTCGCGAAATTCCAAGAACTTCGGCAGAATTTTTCTAGAGAATCCGCCGATCCTTTAAACGTCGTTAAACCCGCCCTGTAGGTAATGATCGTGTCTGGTGTCCTGCATCAGACTCTCAGCTATCCGCTAAACATGCTAAACTCCGAGCAAACTTCAAACGAAAATACCTTCTGGAAAGTGTAAAAATATCTTTTACAAAACTCCAGCGACTTGGAAATCGTCTTAAATTCAGTTGCCAGAAAGGCCGCGTTATTTATAACACGGTTTAATCAATTAGTTCGGTCAATTAATTTTCAAAAGTGCAGCCAGCATAATACTACATTTTTCAACGACCATTCCTCAAGCCCGTGTGGCCCGCGCGTCCACCGTCAGCGAAACAGTTCTCCAGCGGGGCTTTCTCGGTAATTACATTCCCGAGGCTCGTGCCGTAGGGTCAGAAATCATCGTTCCATCGGGGGCAGAGAGAAAGATCGAAAGAAAAGCCTTGCCAAACGACGAGCAAGCAGAGCCAGCGAAAGTTTCGCTCGATTGCTCGTAGCACGCCGGGACTCGTTCTTCGACTCTGGTGCCTTGGTGCAGGCTCCTCTATACGTGTCCTTCCCTCTGATCTCCTTCCTCGTGTCCCCCTCCCGCATGGACCATCCTTGGGCGCCCCTTAACCCAAACCATTATCTGTATACCACGATTATAAGGCAACGGGACCGACAAACAGGCTTGGGCCAGACCCCCTGGCACCCTGGTCGCAACTTTGCCTCCCTCTCTTTCTTCGTCTTCGTCTTCGTCTTCTGCTTCTTCCTTTTCTCTTTTCATTCGTCGTTCCTCCTCTCTGCCCCCCTCGCAGTTGCCGTGCGCGCCCCTACACCGTCACCAACTACGCAAACAAACCCGTGCATCGACTAACATAACTTAACAATCTCCTTCCAACCTCCTCGTTTGCTCCTCTCTCGTCATACTTTCCCCCCCCCC